CGAATAAATGGGGTCACAGGTGAAGGTGTGCTGTGAATAAACTCAGCCTAAGGTGAAGAGTCTAGACGTGCTGTATAGAAATTTCCTCTTTGTTTGCAGTCATGGGCACTACGTTTCTCCCGAAATTATAATGGAAATTCTAGGGACCGCAAACACCTGGTTAGTAAACGATACTACTCATAAGGTTGCTGAAAACTCTACGACAGCACCCGACCAGTTTCACCCTCCTTGGGGTTCATCAGGTAGGCTGAGGGCCCGCGTGTCCATCGATCTTTTGATGTATTTGAACACTCATGTGCAATTCAATTTTGTTTTCAGGGAGACTCAAGCGAACCTTCTGTTTATGATGTTCTCCAACACAGTTTGCTGCGCTTAATGCGTCTACCTGAATGGCTTCCCAACAAGGGTTGTCGAAGTGTTTTTCGCAACCTCGTGAGTAGTTTCTTTTATGAAAATATACTGCGATATCCCGAATATCGTGCCGACTGAAACATGAGGCGGCCTGTGTGCAGCACATTTGGTTGAAGAACATCTTAAAGAAGATATTTACTTTAGTCAGTCAATCAGTCAATCAATCAATCAATCTATCTATCTATCTATCTATCTATCTATCTATCTATCTATCTATCTATCTATCTATCTATCTATCTATCTATCTATCAAACAACCAATCAATCAGTTAATGAATAGATCGGGTCGGATTTTACGTAAAACCTAAGCAAAAAACCTAAGCAAACCGTTCACTGCCACTACTAATGTCCTCTAATTGAATTGCGTTTTTCATAGAATGCCTGACCTCCGGTTCTTCCAAGAGTGCTTGATACTGGTCAGAGATGAAACAGCATTAGGAGTTTTTGGCGGAAAATAGCAGTTAGATGATCAGGTGAGTTGATGTTTTAGTAATCTGAGGTTGCTTGGTAATTTTCAACAGAGATATCCTTGTGAATACTGAATAGTTTCACAAGGTGGGTGAAACTTTCACCTGAGAAGTCTTCAATCGAAAAACCAGTCAATAAGTGATCACGAGATGTCCTTCATTTATTGAAGGACGTTATGTTCTGTCTAAATATGAGCTAACCATCCTGGCGATCACTCATTCAGGACCAAAAGTTTAAGTGTTCAACCATTGGCTGGAATGTCGCCGGTTTGGAACTCTGTGTGCTTCGTAAAATGCGCACTGCTGGTCGTCTCTAAGAAGGCTGAATCGTCAGGCACGTTCTGAAAGTGTTTTCTAAGGCAGCAGATGACGTGAGACACCTGTTCGATTGCTGAGGACGATTCCAAAATCATTTTAGATCAACTCGCAGTCATTTCAACAATGTCCTGCCCAGTCCTTCAGAGTCTCGGAAAGAGCAAATCTGAACGATTTGATTGATCCGGTTATTATAACTTTCAAGTCTACCGACATTGACAATGCCTGAGGAAGAATTATTCCGGTCCGCACAACGTTTTACTCAAGTATACTACAGAAAAAAGAAGGAACTGTACTTTCGGATCGCTTAAAGCCCTCCGTTTATCACAAACGACGATTGAAGTACACCGTTCGTGACACTGAGTCAGGCATTCCATTAAAGTTGAGTTCTACCACGTGAGCGGTTGTCATTCGGTCAGAATGATGTACTCCTCACTCAGTATAGCAGTTTGCTTGCTGATGTGGTCATGGAGACTGAGGTGTACGAATGGGGTTAAACCCCAAAAGATAGCCGAACACAACACAGTGTCTGAGACGGTCCATCGTACAGAGCCAATTTGTACAACAGAGAAGTACTTTTGAACTAACAGAATAGATAGCCAGTTCTCTCGGCAGACTACAACCAAGCATTTGGAGGCGAAAGAAATAAGCCCTCATTGGGGTGCCTCATCTGATCAAGATGGCATTCACAGCAGTTTCGAACGCGCTGGTTGATACTTGGTTAACTTTCACCAATATGCAATTGTACTACGATTATGATTGTACGTTTTATGAGGCTACTGATTCGCGTAACAATATTGTTGTCTTTATTTGCAAATTTAGTAACCCGTCTACCTACAAACGGCTCACACAATTACTCGTCAGCATCCCAGTGTGGAACGTGAAAGCACGGATTAAATTGGCATGCACTTTGTTTATGAAATCAGGCTGCCAATCAACGCTCACATGATTTCGTGAGACTCATGTAAGGTATCAGTAACCTCATATCTATGAGTAGACTGAAGGGGTCGAAACGCGCCATCTTCGCCAGAAGGAGTGGAAGACATTTCAAGGTCTACAGCAGTGTGCTACAAATTCCAGTCGGTGATCATGCTACCAACAAGTGTGTAAGCATCAGTCCAGCACACATTCGTGTATCGCTAAAAGTCTAATAAATTATGGATATGCATGGAAATGTTGTTAGGTTCCTTTGATGTGATGACTGTAGAGCAGTTGTGAAAACACACTTGAAATATGGTTTTTCGAGAGACTCACCTGGACCCCAGCTGAATCTCTCGTTTGTGATGTTCTCAGACAACTGAATGTGCTGCATCAGGCCCCTTACGTTTCAGTCGCGATACATGTACATCTTTGTAATCTACTACTCATAAGGTTGCTGAAAATCCGTCGACAGCCCACGGCCGCTTTCGCCCTTTTTGGGGCTCATCATGTAGGTGCAGTCCCCGGGTTTCTGTCAACCTTATATTCTGCTTGAAACCTCAGAACACCACAAACGAGGGATTCAGTTAGGTCCCAGGTGAGTCTCTCGCAAAACCAAATTAGTTTGCAAATGAGTGTATATTCGCTGATTTCGTGCAATTTGTTTTCGAGTCGAACATAAGGATGACGGAAACCCGGGGACTGCGCTTACATGCTGAGCCCCAAGAAGGGCGAAACCGGTCGTGGGCTGTTGACGGATTTTCAGCACCCTTATGAGCAGTGCATTACAATGATATAATTGAAATATCTTCAGACTAGAGATCGACAGTAACGCTCGTATAAACGTACACCGGTTTATGCGAACTACGCTCTAAACAACTACGATGAGTCACTGTTTCTCCGAAGATATGCTGCTTGCTTCGATTACTTTGTTAGAGACATTTTTCTCCAAACTGCAGATGAACTTACTTTTCACCTGTGAGGGTGAGCATTAGACATTCTCACACCATTTCTAGGGCCTTCTTTAGCTAGGCGAGATCAGGGGCGATTTCTTTGAATAGCTGATGGGTCTCATGTGTAGATCTATGATATTTCATTTCAAAACAAGGAAACACTTCTTGATTAGATAGAGCTGTTTCGGCAAACCAATGTTAGTTAGTTCGTTGTATGAGCGGGTGGACATTGACTAAGTTACATAACGAGGTTCCTACTGACAAAAGGGCATGCTAATTGCGAAAAAGGCATCCCACAACACCATTCCAAGGGCCTCTCAGATATTCGGTTCTACAAGTAAAACCAACCTGTGATGAAAGGCTGAGAGGCAATGTGTGCATCTGTTTCACTAGCCGTGAGAATCCCAAGAAACTGTTGTAGGGACTTTTGAACCCACCACCTTCCGGCTAATGGTTTCACCACGAGCACCTGGCTGACACGCCTAAACAGGATGTAGCACGGCTTATCCTTTGTTCACAGGATAATGAAAGGAAGAAGGCTTTCGATGCGGAGTCGCTTATTGGGGAAACACCAACTTACAGATACAGACTATGGGACGGGATAGCAATGCTCTCATAAACATCTTGTTTAGAAAAACTGAATATCCATCTCCTACTTGAATGTGTCTACCTGAACTTTCCCACATATTCATTGACTGTTACTCAAATGCAAGCAAATTCTACAAAGCGACTTCAAAAATTCCGTAATAAATCTCCTTTTTCAATAGACACGATGCGGATTTACGAGAAAACCACACACTACTCGCATGCTTCATCAGTAGTATCCACCGTTACACATCGGGCACGCGGGTTTTGGCTTGCTTCTCGAGGGCCAACTTCTCCGATGCAAGTTCTACTCGTATTGTGAAAGTAGTAGCCTTCTAAACTACCCATAAATTGAAGGAGATGTGGGGAGATTTGATCCTGTAAATGAAGCCAGTCTATCTAAATTTACACTGCACAACGGTTTCGATCATATTGCCGGTCACCAGCAGTGCACTTCTAACGGATCACTGTTTGAGTTCCGAACCCGTGATTTTCAAGCTGGTATTTTGAACACTTAGTGGTTCGGTCACATTTCTGTTAGCTGATTCAGCTATGATATGCATCAAATCAGCTTATCTACCCTAGTATATCCGAAACTTTAGATGTGCCAGTGAACTAGATAAATTTAGATGAATCTGACGGCTAACCTACTCTCGTATAAAAGGGGTTCAAAGAGGAATCCAGATTTACACAAGTTTGCTGCAACCACGAGCTCACGAAGCCGCAGGCAAACTAGTCTACCTGTTTCCAACATTCTAAGGTTGCTATGTGACCAATGACATCATACGGTAACTAAACGAGTTCAGGAAAGCGGCCCAAACTATTGGCAAACCATTTCTGGCTCACACCAACACAGACAGCGGAAATGTAATTTGTCAGAGCAATATGTCGCATCTAAAGTTGCACAGATGCCTACATAGACAAATCAGGGAAAGTCACCATCATCATCATCATCATCATCATCATCATCATCGACAGCATGACATCAGTGTTCAACACCGATGCTTCACCGCCGTACAAACATGATTTGTTTGAAAACCTTATTGTAAAGAAAAGAGGAAAGATGGACGGGGAATGGACTTAGTGTTACC